TGAATCAAATTAGGATTTGCCAGGAGATGTGATGCTGCTCATTAACATAAAAGTGGCTTGGAGTTAAAAGTAACTACTTAAATGTATTTGTCTTTTATACATAAATATCCTCTTTATTCTAGATAAGTTGTGTTTTTATCTTATTGTTTTTTTACTGACATGTAACAGCAAACTCTTGTGGACAATAATTACCTGTATTTTGTTTTTATTGTGGGCATGTTTCCATTCAATTTAAAATATCCCTTCACTTTTTAAAGGTTGCCATGTTTGAGGAAGTATTATGTGTTGCTGTGCTGTTTATTGATGTGGTGAGTACATAGTCTATGAAAATATTACTAAATCTGTCATTTATTCATTTTAATATTCATCAATGATCATGTCTCACCTCTGTTCCTCACTGTCCAATTTTCAGGATCCCATCATACGTTCATTGTTCAGGAGGTTCACTAGACCAAGCAGCCTTTTGGGTTCCTCTAAGTAAGTACTGTATAGAATAATGGGACTGGGAGGATGGTGTAGGTTTAAATTTATTAGACAAGTACATATACACCAACAAGACAGTGTACAAGCGGTGTCACAAGAAAGTTTGTTTTCATTCATAGGCTTCATTGTCTTTCCATCAATACCTGGTGGGCTGGACTAGGCTCAAAATGCCCGGGCCGATTTTTTGTCCCAGCTGTCTGTGTCGCCACTTCCCAGTGTCTTACAAAATGTGCTCACGCATGACTCAGAGTTTGCTTACAGGTGCGCACATTCTCCCGCCAAGTTTATTTTTATAAATCACAACCTTTGCGTGGTAAGTGGCGTACGCTACTTTCAAGCCCCGTTTTGTGCATAAGCATAAGCTTTATAAATGAGGCCCCTGGTAGTCAAGATAATCCACAGATCTTATTGTGAGCAGTTTCATGAAGAAACTATTTTCTTTCTATCAAACTACACCTGCCAACCAAATAACTGCACAGAAGGAAGCATCTACTTATGGACGAGATGCTCGTGCTCGTTACAGCGTAAGATGTAAACATTAATAGTGTCATCCTGAGCTGTAACATTACATAGCTCAGTAAAATGTCTCTTACTTTTGGAAGTTTGAGTTATGAAACGTGGTTATACATGTGAGTGCAGCTGGGATTCATTTTAAATCTATCCTTCTTCCTTTCTACTGAATAATTGGTGGTACACATTGCCCTGTCAGTCTGCTTGTGTGATCACATCAGCTGAACTCAACTTCATGCTTGTTTTTAATCAACAATACAATCTATGTAAACGGTTAAAACCAAGCAACAAACTACACTAAGAGGGAGATTATTTTTCACCTTCCTCCCAAGTTGAATTTCTATGCAACAAGAAACACACAAGTGTGAAATGCTCATTGGATTAGCTGTTAAGGTGCTTTTTTTAAATAAGTGAGGTATCCCTTTATATAGCTTCAAGTGTAAAGATTATATATCTTAATATGTATATTGTGTATCCCTGTGGTTTTTATCATAAGTGGAAGGTGAGAGGATGGAGAGCGGAGAGATAAAGGAGGGATTGAAAGCGCAGGCTGGGGACAAGACCTCGCCTCAGAAACACAACCACCGCAGCTGAAAGGAATGTCATGCCTTAACAAGATTTTAACCACAGAGAAACCTCCTCCTCATAAGACACAGGCTGGATTTGATGTGTGTGAAATTCTCTTTTAAAAGAGCCACAACTGCAGTAGCAAACTTTCTCTATGAAGTGATCCTCAAACAAATCCATTGCTCCTAAACTGTAGAGCATTAATAGCTGCTGTCACTCCTTCAGTCCACATATCCTAATGGTCTGGATGAAGACGAAACTGGGTGATGGGTCAGTTGTGTAGGCAATAGCTTATAGGCAGCTCCAAAGCCTTTAGAAATAAGCAATGAGCAATACACTCTAATACTTACGCACAAATGTGTCATTGATTGCAGCAAACAGCACACAGAGAAACTGAAACTTACAAATTTCCATGATTTATTACCTATCTGTGCCAGCAGCAACATTGTCCATGTATCTGCAATCAGTTTACATTAATGAGTTACAGTATACAATCTATTTACAGTTCTTAAACATGATAGAGTGCAAAAGCTTCCACGAAATGTGTAATAAATAATACGTTTCAAATATATCATATCCACTCTTATAAAAAATCACACAAAATAACATCATCCAACAACACTGTGCAACTGAAATCATGACAGGATAAAAAAGTAATTTTCTCTTAGTGAAGAATGTAGTCTCCTCAAAGCTTGTGACAAACTGCCGAAAACAAGCCAAAGAGATGCAGCAGTCAAACTCGATGTTTCTCAGGCTACTGTGTATTCTGCACAAACAATGAGAAACAGTCATGGCTGCTAGAGATGGAGACAAAAAAGGAAAAGGAGCTCGGGGAAAGCATCTGTGGTTGAAGCTGCCCTGGTCAAGAGGATTGATAATTCCTGGTCATCCAATAAAAAAGTAATAAATATATGTGTCAATTAGATGGAAATCTGCATGTGAAATTTAAAACAAACAAACAAAAAAAAAACGATTATGATAATCATGCACCCATAGTGATAAATTTGACCTGCACAAAGGTTATCACTATAAGATATTTCCACTGTATAATGTTGCAGTTATTACTGTGTGGTGGTGCTGTGGTGTCACAGGGCCTCTGTTGTTCAGGTGTTGACAGTGTTAGCAGCAGTCAGGAGTGAGGAGAACAGAGACTGTGGTCTGTCCCTCAGCACATCTGGAGGGTCTAACTCTGCCACCTGTTGGACAGAACGCCTACTGTCAGTCTATCGTCAGGATCACACAAACTTTATCTCTGTTTATTTGTAGTTGTTACCTCTCCGTTGTCCATGACCAGAATACGATCTGCGTGCATCACAGTGTTGATCCGATGGGCAATGGTGAGCATGGTGCAGTCCTCGAAGGCTTCTTTGATGGTGTTCTGGATCAAGGAGTCTGTCTCTGCATCGATGGATGCTGTTGCCTCGTCCAAAATAATGATCTATTGGACAACAGGAGAGACAGTTAGACTGAGGTCCTGTTTACACCTGGTACTAACATGGGCGATTCAATGATGAGTGGATGTAAAATAAATAACATCATGCACATTGCTGCGATGGCATCACCTATAGGTTTGTGGAGGCCCATTTTGATTTGGCATTTCAACTGTCACCATCTTAGTTTTTTGGAGCCTGAAGTGACCATGTTTGGACGAGACAATACAGTTTTCGTGAATGTTGAAATTTGCTATAGAGACAAAAACTGTTTCTTGTACCAGGCTGTGTTTATTTCTGCTGTGGGCATTTAAATGTGGGGGCCTATGAGGATTGACTCATTGACTTAGCTAGCCTCAAGTGGCCTTCACAGGAACTGCAGTTTTTGGCAAATTTTAGCATTGGCCTCATGTTTCAGCCTCATAGGTTGCTGCTTGGTTCACACCTGGCCCCTGTCTCAAGACACCACTTGTGATCACATTTCCACCTACATAGAGTATGTCGGCTGAGTAGGAGGTCCTTTAGTGTGGTCCTGCACACATTAGTGTACACATTGCTGAAAAAACATGGACACCTCTAAATATGGCACTGTGGATGCACTGGGTGCGTTCACACCTGTAAGTGGAGCTGTCCACTTGGGATCTGATCACCCAAGATGCATGTTAATTCCAGGTGGAAACAGGGCCTTAGATATTGACTGGAGAGCGGGGGAGCTAGGAAGGCATAGGGTGGAGAAGGTTTGGGAGGGAAATTAGGGGCAACTGCATAGACTGACACCATGGCCCAGAACAAGATGATGTTAATGTGAAAAACATAAAACATCGTACGCAGTTATTTAGTTTGATTGTTGTTGCAACACATAGATATGTGGCAGTAGTAATCAAGTGGCTGTTAGCAGCACTCAAATTGGTGTGCAAATAAAAAGAAATCAGAAGAGGCTGATAAAAACCTTGGAGTTGCGGAGTAGTGCTCGAGCCATACACATCAGTTGTCTTTCTCCTACAGAGAAGTTCTCTCCATTCTCCATCACCGGCGCCTGTAGTTTCCCCTCCAGTCTGGAGATCTGAGGGGAAGAAAACAAAAGAATACTTTTAGCTCTACTTTTAATTGTGCAATTAGCTCCTCTAAGAGTAACCACAAGTGTCAGAGATCAACCAGTCCATTAAAAGAATAGTCTGACACTTTGTGAAAAACACTTATTCACTATCTTGCTGAGAGTTAGATGAGGAGATCCATTACTACTAGAGTTCAGCTGTGGAACGTAAGTCAGTATGTTTACTCAAGTACTGCCTTTTTCAAGGGGTAAGTTTGCTATTTTTCAACATGGACTCTATTTTCCTGTGTTTTTGTGTCTAAGTGACAACATTATTTTAAACTGGTCCACTGGCCCATTGGTATTGGACAGTACAACCCCACGGGCCATGTTCGCACCATTAATTTATGGCCACTAAAAGCACTTGTTTTTGTCACTGACAGGCTCAGATTGTTATTCTAAGTGTCTGAGAACATTATGGAAAGGATCCCTACAGAGACAGACCTTTTTGTTAAAGAGTAAGATCCTTTTTGTTTTACCAGAAACAGCCCTGAACTTGCTATCCAAAACCCACCAGACTACATTTAAATAAACCATCATTTTATCATCATAAAACAAACTTCATTTGAAGTTAACAAAAACAAAATAAAACCCACTAAGCTGTCTTGGTTCATCTTTTCTCTGTTCAAACAATCACCAGTTCTGGTTTGGTCATACTTAACTCTTAATTCTCCCAGTTAAATGTGAAAATATGATGGCTGGATACACACTAAAATTATTATTTTAATGGAGTCTGGTGGGTTTGAAGATGGTGATTTTGGTATGGTTTCTGGTTAAACAAAAATAAACTTAGATCATTACTCCAGGGCTTCATAAATGTTTTTCCCGTGCTTTCAAAAACTAAGAGACCAAGAGAAAAGGCTCTGTGCTAGCTCGGGGTAAAAGATCACACACTGTAAACTGGTGATATACTTTGATTCATAATGTACATACTGAGTCCTTCATGTAGGTCTTCTCCAGTGCTGCCCAGATCTCCTCATCACTGTAGTTATTGAAGGGGTCTAGGTTGTATCTGTGAGAAAACATGTGTTATCACAGTTGGTGAACCAGGGACAAACCACGATAGCAACAAAAGTGTGTGCCTGTGTGTAAACATAAAGCTCTGTGGAGTTAAGTTACCTGATTGTGCCAATAAATAGCACAGGGTCCTGGGGGATGATAGACAATTTGCTGCGCAGATCCTGCAGACCGATGGCCATAATGTCTACGCCATCTATCAGGATGGTTCCTGCTGCTGGTTCCACTAGCCTGAACAGAGCCACGCCTAAAGAGGACTTCCCTACAAACACAAAGCATAGAGTACCTACTGTATTATCATTATAGACTATAGGTTTCATGATGTACTGTACTGCAGTACTATCAATGACATATTCAAATACATCAAATAACTTCACATGTATGAGTAAAGACTACTGGAGTCAGGGTCTTACCAGAGCCTGTTCTTCCCACAATGCCCAGCTTCTCTCCAGCTCGGATGACGAAATTGAGCCCGTTCAGGACAATGGGTGTATTCTCTCTGTACCTCATCTTATAGTCCTGAAAAGTGATGGTTCCGTTCTTTGGCCAATCCTCTGGGACTTGAGCCTCCTTTATGTGTCTGGGGGCCTCAGATTTACAACCCTGTTCAAAATAAAAAACAACTTCCTTAAAATGGGGATAGGAGGTGAGTCAGATGATAATTAATCACATACTGGAAGTAAACAGTCTTTTTTATTTATTTATTTTTTTTTTTTTTTGAGGCAGAGAAGTCTGACCATGATATATTCCTGCATCCGCTCCACCGAGTTAAATCTCGCCTCCACCTCCGTTGCCTGCCGCACTACGTACTGAAGTATGCTTGTCAGCTGGAAAACACATAAACACAGTCTGTAAACACAAATGTTGCAGTTGCTTCCAATGTGTCTTGACAAAAATAAACCCAAATCTTCATTAATTGGCTGTCTAACTTTACCTGTGTGGTGTAGGACATGGCCAAGCCTTTCAAAGAAGGACTGATGAAGTCATTACTGCTGAGCACTACGAGCAGAGATACCAACAAGGACATGGTCGCACCCATGAAGTCCAGCCAGAAGGAGAGCCAACGTGTCCCACAGGAAAACATTAAATAGTGGTTGGAGTTGATGTCATTGAGTGTCTTGAACCTACAACATGATAAAGGACATGCCAGGGTTTGTGAACATATCGCCTCACCCCAATGATCAGTGAAACAATAAGAGACACTATGACTAAAACCTCACCTGCTGCTTTTGTGCTACATAAATGTAAAGCGGGAAACAATTACAATAGAGCACACATTCAACACGCTTGAAAACACAAACTACAGTTACCCCCTTGCAGCTGTACTGTATGTCTCTGCCAATTAATCAAGTTGCAGTTACATCTAGACTTATATGTAGCCTTGAAAACAGACAGTGTATCAAATATGAATGTTGCTGCAAAGAAGCCACATAATCTAAAACATGGATGCTTCATACACATCTTCAACCCAATAGCACAGAAGATCTCTACAATCAGCACAGTTTCAAGGTGGGCACTCAAGATTAGTGTCGCCCCTTCTGTTCCTGAGTTATGATGTTGAATAATGGCCAGAAAAGTGATTTTGCAGAATATTATGATGTCACAGTGAAGCTGACTTTTGACTTTTTAGATATAAAATGTCATTATTTCAGCATTTTATCCTATTAGATGTTTGTGTGGAATTTATTTACTATAAGCATATGAATTCTTGTGCGATGGCCCAAAACAAAGGTTACAATATTGTAACCCTAGCTTTGTTAGCACAGGTGAAGCCCTCCACTGGACTCTATGGGTATTACTCTCCCCCAATCAGCACACATTCACCCACTAAATTCTGCATACACATAACAGGCCAGTCAGGACGTGCCTACCTGAATATCCACCAAGCCCATGGTATTTTATGCAGTACCATGATGCTGTCCACCATCCCAAAACCTCTTCAGTGACAGAGCCACTGGGTAGAGGGCTCTGCCTGTGTTAATAGAACTGCGGTTACAATATCATAACCTTATTTCTATGTCACACAGTATCCATCCTCCACTAGACTCTGGGTACAGTGGATTGAGCCTGATGAATGAACAATCTGTTGTGACATAAAATCGACCCAGCCACACTGATCATGAAACGACTAATGGTTAGTCGCCGCAGCCCATCTATTTCTTCATAACCTGGGCTGCCTCAGCAGGGAAGTAGAGGGCCCCAGCCGATGCAGGTGGCACGTAGCTGATCGGGGTTGAGCCATGACCTAACCTCGCAGGGATCAAAAGACAAGCAAATCATCAAGGAGCATGGAAACATGTAGGTGTATCAGGCCCAGAGGGCAGTCAGGTGCAACACAGCTGACAGCTGCAATGGAAGTGAGCAGAAGCCCAACATATCCCGCTGCAATGGTCAGCACCGGAAGTCTTGGCACAGAGGTGTCAATGATGGATTCCTACAGTATGCTTAAGTACCGGACACAGGAGAGATGTTGTCATCATCATCTTCAAATGGAGCTGTTGTCTCGCCAGGGATGACCAAGAGCGGCGACAACGTATTGTCGATTAGAGTGGGGGTCTCAGTGTCATCAGCCTTGAGCTCCTGCTCACTCCCATTGCAGCAGAGCATCACATCAGTAATCCCACTGCTGCAAGCGTCTAATCTTTGGCAGCACTTGGCAGGCTTTGCAGGGAGGTGGCTGCTGAACACCACTGTTGGTGTGGCCCGCGCTGAGGCACTTGAAGCAGCAGCTGTGAAGATCTGTTCTGGCAAGGACATGACAGAAGCTGACAAGGTTGTAGAATGGTAAATGGCAAATGGACCTGCATTTGTATTGCGCCTTTCTATTCATCCCACCACTCAAAGCGCTTCTTACACTACAGGTCACATTCACCCATTCACACACACATTACTACACTGGTGGCTGAGGGTACCAAGCAGGGTGCCACCTGCTACTCAGTTTTTAACATACTCACACAATGATGGAACAGCCATCCGGAGCAATTCAGTATCTTGCTCAAGGATACTTCAGCATGTAGGCCAGAGGAGAGGGGGATCGAACCTCTAATCTTCCGATTGGTGGACGACCCGCTCTACCTCTGAGCCATCCATGGAGAAAGCTGGATGGTGGGAAAATCACTGATTGCTCAAGAATAGAGGACGGTGGACACGGTTGTGGCACTGCCTTATATACTGTGGTCTCTGCACTTGTTTGGGTAGGAACCAGCAATGTTTATGCAAAATTCAGTGGGAAAACACAAACATCTTAAATGTGGGAAAGTATTACCCAGTCCAGTAGAGGGTGGAGCCTGTGTGAGATAGAGCGTGTTTTGTGAGGTCACAGTGACCTGGACATTTGATGTTTGTGGGAAAACTGAACTAAGTCCCTCAAAACGTTCCTGAGATGTCACGTTCACAAGAATGGGACAGACATAGACACAGACAGTCACCTTGACCTTTGACCATCAAAATCTGATCCATTCATACTTGAATCCAGGTGGGCATTTGTGCCAAATCTGAGGACATTCCCTCAAGGAGTTCTTAAAATATTGCATTCAATAGAATGGAATGGACAGACAATCTGAAAACATGATGTCTCTGGCCAAGGCTGTCGCCGTCATGTAGGCATAACAAAAAGCAAGTATATAAGAAGTTTTTCTTTAAAAAACAACTCTGGTATCTTACAGTTTTATGTGGCTGTCTCTTATGTTGTAGGCATGGATGGTGCTGAGGCCCTGCAGTGTAGAGGTCGTGAGAGAGATGCAGGGAGAGCGACTGATGTTTTCCATCCTTTTCATCTGACGGATACTCCTCTGGACTACACTGCAGAGGAGTTACAACCACATATTCAGTATACCTTAAACAACTCTTTACTGTCCATTCATGCACTTGCTTTGAAGATGTGCTAAGAAATTCGCTAAATGTGTAATCAGGAGACGCCATTATTAAGAGCTGCTAAAATCCGATTGTCCCTGCAGAAATCTATTTTATCATGTCAAGACTTAAATAGTATCAACTCACAAGAGAATGAGGGCGAACAAAGCTCCCATAACAACCACAGCTACCAGCATGGCAGGGAAGACAGCCGATATGGTGATAATGGTGAACATGATCACCAGAGCGAACTGCAAGAAAGGGTCCATGTGGAGGGGAAGCACAGTGTCCACCTCCTCTTGATCTTTGGAGAAGCGGTTGAGAATGCGGCCTGTTGGTGTTGTGTCAAAGAAACTCATGGGACTGGAGAAAATCTGAAAAAAAAAATCTTCGTCAATCATCGTCAACAGCTCATTGGTAAAGCTTCTACAAGGTCTGAAAGAAATCATCCCTTTTAAACACCAAACAATACTTTATATATTATTGGGATTTTTAACTGATTTTTGAATTGATCACATATTTAGTTTACTTATGATGAGTGAACATGGTTAAGTGTGTGTATGATGGTAGGTGGCTGGGGGTTAGCTGTTCAACAGTACCTTCTTGAACATGGTGTTGTGGAGTTTGCAGGAGGCATTCAAGGTGACCGTGGTGTAGGAAAAGCTTTTCATAATGGCAAGTATCACTGTGACAACTATCATCAAGCCATAAATCATTTGGTAGAAGTGCAAGTGCTTGTTTTCTGAGATGTCACCCTGTGGACTTGTCTTATTGGGTGGAAGAGAAAAAACAGAAAAAAAAGATATGATGCTGGTGGAGAGCAGAGTCAGAGAGATAATTTATCAACACAGTATATTTTTTGATGCACAAGAATAATTGTGAATATTGTCACCATATAATGCACAGATGTGAAAATAACACATATGTCACCACATACTAGATCTGCTCTTATGTGATCAGCCTATACACTGTTGTGGTCAATGTATGATAGCTGTACAGAAAGAGACTGGTGTATCATAATGACTGGCATTTATATTCAAAGCAAAAAAGAGATGAGAGAACATCCATTTATGTATAGTTACCGCGTGAGTGAACACTGGGTGATATAAATGCAATAAAAACAAAAGTCAAATGTCTGATCTGGACCCATGCCAGTTTACTGCAAAAGGTAACAAAGGTGGAATGACAGGTCTTTCTTCAGATAGTCACTATGAATAAACATTTCCATCTCACACTTTAAAAGTGGATATCAATATCAGACAGGATTGTCAATATCTGACTCTCGGTGTCCATCTCCACCCCAACATTGCATACACTCTGGGATTGAATCCACACTGATGCGTAGTCATGCCAACATACAAGAGTGAAGCAAAGCAAAGAAAAGCAAACTACCATGTCGGGTGATTTTGAAAAGACATGTAAATTTAGAACAGCCTTGATAGCAGTGTCTATCTTGTCTGTAGGGCTTATTATTGTTGTTATTACTCCTTATTGGTTGCGGTGCACTACTTGATAACATTGGACAATAGTTAGACAATGGTGCTAGTCCTGCCCATGGCGCTGATTGACTAGTCGATTCCCCTGAGACGCTCATTAGTTCTTTTTCTATTTTAACTGAGAAACTGTTGTTTCGTGTCCAAGTCGACTCGATCTCGGTGGAGTGGAAAGATTCAAAAGTCTGGAGCCAGGCAAAAGTGGCATTATGTTGGCACCGCTGTCACAAAGACAATAGGATCACTAAACGTTTTTCTCAGAGCCTAGCAACTACCAACAGCACAGGACACACTGCAATTTGTTTCACACAGTTATTTTGGTTCCTCCACCTTCCGCCATTTCCACTTTCGGGGATAGCAACTGCAAAGAACTTAGACGGATATTTTCTTATTGTAACTGCCTGGGGATAGCTACCGATGCTGCTATTGGGTAAAACTAGACTCACAAGTCAGTCGACGCTTTGCTTAACTAAAGACTGATGACTTTCTCACTGATTTTGTGTTTAGATGGGTGGATACAATTTCAGAGTTTAAAAAAAACTCCCTATGTTGCAGAACCAATAGTAAATCCACAGGGCGGTCCTTCGGTGGCTCGCCGAACTCTTGTGCTCGTAAACATAGTCCGACTAGAAACACGTGTAGCGGTACAAAATGGCTCAAGTCGCTGTAAGTCCTTCATTTCCACAATCTTGTGGACTGAGCACACATTTGATAAAACAGAGTTAAATCTCTCGGCATCCATTTTCAAGCTCTCTGTGTGTTTGTTTCCTTGCGGACAAGAAAAGGGGGAGCGCCCATTTCCGGGAGGGCGTGTCCTTTTCAAAAATGCAAGAGCCGTTGCTTTGTTGCCGGCCGTTTTCGCCGGTGTGTTAAACACACTTTAGAAAGGAGTGTCCCCAGACTATCAGAAGGCGGAGATCTCTGATTGTCTGGTGGCGAGACTAGGGGAAAACACAAGTGCTATCCTCTTCCTGTTTAGGTTGCACATTGTTTGATGCACTTCCTCTGTGCTGTAAATGAAGCTTCCATTGTCTGGGAAGATTTCACCTGATTACAGATAGAATTGCATGGTGAAAGAGAGGCTTATAGGGAACCAGGCTTAATGCAGATGCTGTCATCATTCCATAGGCATTACATTGTGTAATCAACATTACTTTATCATGAAAAGTTAAAGCAAAAAAAAAAACGTTTGTATTTCCACTTTAAGGTCAGATAACGTAGTGTGACCTGCCAACTGTGTTTTGGAGAATGTTACTGATTAGCTCTATTGCAGAGGTAACAAGTTAACAGAGTCCCTGGCTGCCTCTGCAGGAATCATTTAGATGGTGTTGATGATTTAACACCACATAACTGCCTGAGTCCATGTTGATTCTCTTGATCTCCCTGACCACCAGACCCACCATTATTTCTTAGTTCTTTAGTTAGCATCAACAGTTTTAATAAGAATTATTTCTGAGCAGATAATCCGGTGCTGTTCAGCCATAAACAGACAGTAAAGCTTGTGAGTAAAAAGCAGTGTGGAAGAAGTGTGTGGTGGCTGTTGGACTGTCAGTTTGAAAAGAAAAGAGTTTGTAACACAGACTGTGTATAGAGAACTATTCACTTCTCAGACTGCCCGAATAACACGCTTGTTGGAGCACATAAGAATCATTATTGTTTCCAGCTGTTGGAAGTCACACTTCAACCACAGCTGTGTATTTGTGTTTGTGTTTGTGTGTGTGTGTGTGTGTGTGTGTGTGATATGCTTCTCACCCCATTGCCCTGCTCAAGCCAGAAGCTGAGCCACCAGCTGCTGATGGCTGTGGATCCAATCATCAGGACTATGTTCAGCAATGTGAGGGCGGTGACAATGTAGCCTGCAGCATCACAGTCACATCAAACTCCATCAACAGGGCTGCCCATGTATGTATTATTGCATAGAACTGTGCCAATTCATATGTGTGTGTATCAGACCTCCAGCTGCCTTGCAGTATCGCTGATAGACTCTCCAGGAGATGACACCCTCTGTGGTGGCCTCCTGACTGACCAGCTGATCACCCGCAGCAGCTGCAGAGGAAGGAAAGGATTTTATAGAATCATAGCTCAATCAAAATTACTTTCATTTACATTTTCCATATTTTCAAAAAGTGTAAATGTACACTAGCTTCACTGAAGTGCCAATCACTCAGACATTCACCGAATTCACAATAGTGTAAATGCCTCCAGAGAGTCAGCACCTATGTGTCTCAGACCACGGTTCTCTGAGGAAAATTGGTGGATTGCCCCCTCGACTTTTGGTCATGAGCTTTGGGTAGTGACAGAGGGAATTAATTCACTGATACAAGTGGCCTATCACTTTGTTTGTTTGTGTTACTGTATGACGGTGTTTTGAAGGGTTAGTGTGGATTCACTTAAGTCACACAGTAACATAAACAAACAAACTGATCGAGGCAGCAGTAGAGCAGCAGCTCTTGTGTTCAGCCAGGTAAAATTACTTTTTGTCGATGGAGTCTGGTTTTGAAGACAGCATAGATAAGTTTCACTCTTAGTTCTGTCCTTAGGGACTGTGTGTTTGGGATTTACTGAGCATACGACTAGTTAAATGAGACTTGGATTATACCGCACAAGTTTTGTGAGACTTTGTGAACAGATGTTTTGATATAGTTTTTCTGTTGTTTAGCATGGTTGCTTATGACTTTAACTAAAAAAAAAAAAATCCAGTTTTTGGATTCTTCATTCACCAGACGCATGCCAGAGAAACGAAGTTTTCTTTATGATTTCATCTTAACACGGTGTGGGTAATTCTTATGCAAATGGTCATTTGGGGGTGAAGTATTCCCTCAACTTGCACATTCTATGTCTTTTTGTACATCCCCACATTGACGATATGAGTCTGTGTAGTGTAAGATTTAATCATTAATCATTAAATGTAGTGTAAGATTTAATCATCAATCATTAATCAGTAAAGGTGTTTAAGGCTGAAGTTCATATAATGATGTTTTATGTATCCATGTATGGCAAAACACCTTTATACAAGTTTTGTATTCATATATTGAAAACACACACATACCATATCATGTACTGCCTGGAAGTGTAAGAATAGACTCACACACTCTAAGGTTTTGTATTGCATGAAAGCACAAGGGACCTTATAGAAATAGTCTCCAAGTTTCATATGTTTTTTAAAAAAATAGGGTGAGCCTGAGTTCAAACCTAATGGTGGGAAAGTGTGGGGATTTCCAGGCCGGGGGAAAAAGATTACACCATTAAGACATGCCTGGGCATGTTCGGGACAAAGGAAAAAAGGCCTGCCACCAATAGGTTTGGGCTCAGATAGGAAGGGCTAAAAGGAAAAGGGTGGAGATTCTCTCGAATCTTCACCAGCATAAAAGGGAGAGCTCAGAAAGTGAAACTTCAGTCTTGCTCCGGAGCCTGACTCATGAGTTGTATGTGTTGAAGCTTGTGAACACATTAAACTCAATTGTGGTGGATTCAATTGGTCTCTAGTGTTTCTCTGAGTACCAGCCAGCCGAACCTAAGATACTAAATTAACACAGAGGACGATTTGAAGAGAAAGGTGAGGACGAGGTCGGGGGCCTTCTGGCCCAGTTCCAGGCACCGATTTTTGCCCTCTACATCTGGCATCCTTGCAGAGACGGGGTATATTACATCTGAACTGGCTGACGCTGCACCAACATCAAAATTATGATTAAATGAGTTTTGTAGGCTTACGTTTTTGGTCAGCAGTCGTTCCATCATTCTGTTCGTCTGACATGTCAAATCCTGAGAGGAAACACAGATGTTAGGGAAAATTTATATAAAACAACAGAAGGAGTTCCTGTCATCTCTAAACTGTAGAATGTAATAAAGGCATAAAAATACCCAAATATTACATAGTAACAGTATAACGACAGGATTGCATATCTGTTGCCTAACAGCTGTTATATAACAGCTTTTACAAAGTTCACTGTCCTTCATTTTGTCAATCATGGTCTATTTGTCACCTTGATGGACTGCTGTCACTTTTACTTCCTCTTGGTTATATACTGGCTTTTTTACAAGTCCACAATTGCGAAAGACAAGCAATGTGTTGCACCTACCCTATACTTTCCTTATGACTATGTCCTGACTGGTTGTGCTCTCTAAGCTGCTTCTAGGCATCCATTTCCACCAGTTGCTATAAAATGTGCTACACTGGTGGTGTGTCTTTGCACTTATAAACTTATTTTCATTCATTTTAAGTCGTCTACTGATGAACTGAATATCTTGGATCATTACACTAACATTTTTTCCTGGTTTCCATACCTGGGTTGACTATCCCGCTGTCTGTGCCATCTCTCAGCTCAACATCCTTCAGCTGGGCAGTTTCCAGGGTTGACACTACCTTCTCCACATCCTGGGTCTGAAAGTGATAAGCCAAAACACTGACAGACTGCTTTCATCTTGAAGTAGATATAACAGTTAAAGGGCAACTTGGGTATTTTTTTTTATCTTGAGCCCTATTCCCCTGTGTTTTTGTATATAATCAGTTCAACAATTTTCTAAATTGGTCCAGGATTGGGAAAAGCCCTGCAGCCAGCAGTGGTGAAACTGGCTGCAATGTAATCTCTGTGGGCAATTGAGCACTGTCAATTTATGTGCACTGAAAGTCCTTGTTTTTGCCACTGACATGATCAGATTATTTATATAAGTGTCTCACAACATTATGAAAGGGATCCAAACAGAGGTCAACCTTTTTTTTTTTAAAGAGTAAGATCCTTTTTGTCTAACCAGAAACAGCCCCAAAATCGCCATTACCATACCCACCAGACTCTATTCAAATAAACAGTGATTATACAATCTCGAAATACACTTCATTCAAAATCGACAAAAAACAAACAAAACTCAACAACCTTGATTTGTCTTTTCACTGTTCCAACAATCACCAACTCTTGTTTGGTAGAAATAAACCCTGAATTCACCCAGTTAGATGTGTAAATATGCTGGCTCTATTAATGCTAAAATTACAGTTTATTTAAATGTAGTCTGGTGTGTTTGGCGATGGCAATTTCTGGGCTGTTACTACTTAAAAAAAAAAGGATCCTGCGCTTTCAAAAAATGTCTGTCCCTGTAGGGATCCTTTCCATAATGTTCGACACTTATATTAACAATTTCAGTCCGTCAGTAGCAAAAACAAACACTTTCAGTGGACATAAATTTACAGTGCTTTGTTGCCTGCAGGGTTGTGGGTGGCTTCAGCTGCTGCTGGCTGCAGCACTCTTGTGCAATAGTGGACCAGTTTCAAAAACTGTTGTTCTCATTAGTTACTTAAACACAAAAATGAGGGAAAATAGGATTCAGGTGGAAAGAAATACTTAGGTTACATTTTATCTTGTGCCCTTGTTGAAAACATGTCCCTGCCCTCTGTAAACCTTTGACATCTCTCAATTTTTGGTTTACAACTAACATGGCAGTTTATTGTTTTGACAGTAAAACAATAAAGAACTGGTGAAAAGGTTTCACAGCAATAAAACAATAAGGAAAGTCACATAATAGTGGAGCATTAACTCAGATTTTTTTTACTGCAGTTTTTTTTTTTTTTTTTTTTTACATTGGACTCTTCCATCTGGTAGTTGCTGATGAGCTGAGCGTAGCGTCCGTTGGCTTTCATCAGGTTTTGGTGGTTTCCAGTCTCCAGCACCTCACCATCCTCCAAAACCAAAATGTCATCACAGAACTCCAGATACTGACAGACACAAGGAAGGACAACCATGTCAACAAAACCATCCCAGCACTGTGGCCAGAGGTCTAACCATCATAATCTAAACAGCATGTGCACATATCTTAAGTAGAGTGGTTTACGACACTGCTCACAGTTCATGTTAAGAAAATAGTAGTGGCAGCCATTAGACACCACTTCTTGGCATGTGATTTGCTTTTACTTTGGGGTTTACCATAACAGGATGCTGTCGAATATACTATAAGTGGAAACAAGTATACAAATGTTACTGAGAAATTCCATGCTTAATAATAAGCTATTTAGGATTAACTGTCCGCTAAAGAGCAAAACTGTGTCTATTTTCCCACCTGGAGCTGGTGTGTAACCAATATGACAGATTTTCCCTGGAGCTCCTTCTTAATGCATTCTTCAAAAATGTGTTTCCCCACATGGGCATCGACAGCAGACAGCGGATCATCAAGGAGGAAGATGTCCTTATTGGAGTAGACTGCTCTGGCCAGGCTGATCCTCTGCTTCTGCCCTCCTGACAGATTCAGCCCTCGCTCTCCAATCTGCCAACAAAACAGCAGAAAGCTAAGAAGAACACTGGCAACAAGGTGCGGTAGACCACAGAATCCACTTTTCAGTTTTACAACAATGTAAATTTATTAAAGGTAGCGAAGTGCTCAAAGCTTCCTCAGACTTGGACTTGATCCCAAAGTGAGTCGCAATTTGAATATGCCAGACTCAACATGCCTAAATCAATAAATCTGGTTTTCAACCTAATTGGTTGAGTCAGATACTATGATTTATATGACACAATATGCTGTTTTTGGTAAACTAACTGTACTTTGCAAATTAGATGATTGTTCAGTCTCCCTTAAAATCTAGTTTTAGTTATATTTTCATGGCAATGTCTAAATAGGACACACTGTACAGTGACATAATTGGCTAAGTTTGTAGTTGTAGCTGTGTTTGAAATGAAGTGAAAAGATTATGCTAAATCTAACAAAAATACAAGATAAAACTGCCCAAAGAAAGAGACGCTACATGAATTACTGATTGTTCCAACTAATATTTAAAAAGTGAGTACACTGTGTCTTTAGTAGAAAAAAACAAACAAACTAGAGACCACTTTGTAATGGAGTCATTTTAGCCACGACAAAGCGATGCTGGACTAAATATTTGGTGGTTTTTATCCAGCCTAAGGAAAAAGTTAGTAAAGCCTCTGAATATTATGTGAACACAACATGCATGCTTTGAAAACCAACTTAGAGTATTAACATTAATTCAACTGTACCAGTCAAGTTATTTGTAGTATCACTACAATTACTTATCTAAAGCCTTATCTCAAATCTGTTTCTCCCTGAACTGAGAATGCTTAGGTTATATGAGGAAAGACATTCAAACTAGACTCAGCTAAGAGCTGCAGACCAGTGACAGGCTTGTGGTCCTTCTAAGCAGTGAATTGTTTAAATTTTATAAATCCATGTGTTCTCACATCATGGAGTGTTAGTGTTAAAACTAATGCTTGTCATAAAAAAATTAATAGCATAAAAAAACATTGAGTTTGAACAGTTGAGAGCACAGCAGAGAGCTCCTACCTCGGTTTGATCACCATATGGGAGGATTTTCAGGTCAGCTCTAAGGCTACACACATCCATCACTCTGTTGTATCTGTGGAGTGAGACAATGAACTGTGTTAAGGTCAAGGGACAGCCATGTATAGTGTATTCAAAAGAGCCATTTTGAAGTCACGATTTGATTATTTAATTAAGTTTACTTAACAGTAAAAGCAACATAAATTAAATGTGTCATTTCGGAAAAAAAATGTCTGTTTCAAATACATCAGGAGATATTTAAAAAATACCATTCTGTCTTCAGAAAGACTTTGTTTGCAGTGTCTTATGAATCCTAACATATTTAATACTAACACATGCTGTAATCATAGGCAGTGGTTACTATTGCTGATAGCTACTGTAGGGTACTTATTTAATTTTGGAACTCTCATCCACTAGGTATTAGTCATTAGTTTACTGCATATTAATAGACACATTGACAATGATTGTTTCTGCAGCACCACAGACGAAACACATAAAAGACAGTCGATAAGAAAATACCAGACTCAGATATTCAGCATTTCTGTGGGCAGTGTCAGAAAACACTGTCAAGGTAGTAGAGCATGTTGACCCTCCCTACAGTATCTACCTCATGCCTACCTATCTACCTTTGAGAGATGTTCTTCATTTTTTATTTTGTTTAAGCCTTTGTGCTGGTGATGGCCGTGGCCACAGGCATCATATTTTTGTCATATTCTTGTCTGTCCTTCTGTCTGTCCCATTCTCGTGAACACCATATCTCAAGAACGCCTTCAGGGAATTTCTTCAAATTTGGCACAAACATCCACTTGGACACAGCAATGAACTAATTGGGTTTTTGTGGTCATATGTCAATGGTCAAGGTCACTGTGACCTTATCTGTTTCATTCTTGTGAACATGATATCTCAAGAACACCTTTAGGGATTTTTTTTTCAAATTTGGCACAAATGTACAGTTGGACTCAAGGAAGAACTGATTAGAATTTGGTGGTCAAAGGTCGGGGTCACTGTGACCTTGTGCCTGTCTATTTCAAGAAGGCCTTGAGGGAATTTGGTGCAACATTCACTTGAACACAAGAATAAACTGATTAGAATTTGGTGGTCAGAGGTCAGGGTCACTGTGACCTCACAAAACATGTTTTTGGCCATAACTCATTAATTCATATGATAATTATGACAAAAAATCACACAAATGTCTACTAGGATGAAATAATGAAGTGATGAAATTTTACAACCAAAAGGTCATGCAGACATGAGACAAGGTGAGCTCATGAATACGCTACTAAAATATATTATTGCCTCTTGTGGTACAAACAGTTCAACTTTGAAGCGATATTTAGCCAGTAAGCTAAAACGTTTGTATCAACAGATTCATTATAATCTCAGGATTTAATTTTTCAGAGGGTTAAAGTAACATTAGACCAAAAAGGAGGAGAATAATTCCAATTTTAAGATTATGGTGGTTAACTAAGCAGAATCTTTTTAAAATATTACCTATGGTTCTTTTAGATGGCCTACCACTGGGCTGCGCTTTAATTGTTGGCCTATTTAAACAAAAAATTAATTCATTTAAAAAATATACAACAGCTTACCTCATTCTTTTCAATTTGTTACTGGTGCATTTTAGTCACATTAAATCATTTTCCTTATAAAAATTACTCCTCAAAAAGGGAGATATCTATCTCATAATCAAGGTCAATAAAGTATATCAAAAAGAGGCTATGCTAATCCTGTATGCACAACTTGCTTAATCTGTTTAAGAGTGGTTTCAACTAATATTGCTATGTTGCTTGAATTGCAGGCCGTTATATTTTTGCTCTGAGACACTAAGGGGTGTGACAAAGCATCAGTATATGACGACCTGGGACTGAGAACAGGTTGCATATAGTGTTTGATGTTTACATTGTTTAAGATTTTATATTAAACACACATGCAACATGAAATAACATTGGTGGGATGTTTAAATTTGAATCTGATCCAGGTCTAACATTGTCCAAGTGTCGTTTGAGCAGCTCTCAGAAGGGACTGAGCCGTAAGATCCAGCTCCCTTCAAAGATCATTTATGTGTGTGTGTGTGTGTGTGTGTGTGTGTGTGTGTGTTGTCAATCATTTATGTGTGTGTCTAATTGTCTGCTCTTCTGGAGGGAATCCCCGGCGGACCACGCCTCCAGCCCACTCTCCTCTGCTGCTGTTCAGTGTTCCCTCGCTTGCTGGTCGGCTGGCCCCCTCGTTGTCGTCATCAGTTCCGGCCAATCACCGCTTCACCGGCCCCTCGTCTGAACCTTTAAAAGCTGCGCGGAGTCAAGCGCAATGGCGGCTGTGATTTAACCTGAGCGGTCCGCCTCGCTCCGTTTGTGTGTTCAGCGGCTATAATCTGTTCGTTGTTGTTGTATTTGGGAATCTATGGGCTTTAGGATTTAGTTTTGTAGCCTAGCCACATATCCTTTACACTCACACGTAGATTGTTTGATGTATGGTACATTAGCTTTATGGGTGTCGGTTTGAGTGTTGTTTTGTTTGACAGGTAAGTGGTAGAGCAGATAGCCTATGTTTTAGTTTTGTTATTCTGGGTGGCCTTCCACCACAGTTAGTTAGGGTGTTTATTTTGCTGGTGACAGGTCAGAGTTTTGTTTTAATTGTTTTATGGTTTGCCGTCACCCGCCGCCCTTCCCTGAGTTTGTTATACTTAAATGTAATTCACCGCCGAGGCTCCTTCTGTGAAGCCCGATTTCCGGGTTGTGTTGCTGAGCCTGTGAGTGCGTTTTCTTTTTGTGTGCCGCTTTTTACAAAAGCGTAGCTTGTATTGTTTATTTTGTGTATGAATAAACGGCAGCTTGCCTTATTCACTTCATTGTTTGGTTTTATGTTGCTTCCCTTACCCCAAACACATACTGGGCTGTAACACCAGCTCTGACAGCCTGGAGTGGTTTCCCAATGATAATCCTTTCAGGCAGAGATGACTTCTGCTCTTTGTTGGACTACCTTGCAATATGTTAACTCCTAGAGAAAAGAGGAACTTTCTCCTAGTTAAACATTGGTCATGCACGAGAATAAAGGCCATCAATTACATAAGACCTATGTTTAACCTTGCTCTAATTATCTCTATAACTGCAGTAAGGAGCAACAGTGGCAACATATTAACATTGTTGATAATACATCCTATTGTTTCCACACTCAAAGGTCTGCTGTTACAATTTATGTGGGTTAAGTGATTATGTACTTGAGCTGGTCAAAAGGTTCCCCCATCAGGATGTTTTCTTGAACAGTTCCGTGGAATATCCAGGCCTGCTGAGAAACGTAGGCAAATGTCCCATCAGCTGTGAGGGAGCCCTGCAGAAGGTGCATCTAAAATATAAAAATGAGCACATTTGTTAGCTGTGTGTTAGACAGCAGCACTTAATCTGGTTTAAAGGTAACACAATGTCAGTAAGACATGATTTCATGTAACAGTTGCAAAACAAATCAAGAGTGGTGGACAGTAAAAAAAAAGTAAAAATTAACAGCCAATAAAAATTTCAGACATAGAATCAGGGAGTTCCAGATATTGTAAAAGAGAATGAAGGACAAAAAAGACAAATGAGAGAACAACCTGTTCCAAAATACTGGAAATCAGTGATGTCTTTCCACTCCCCACATTCCCGCAGACACCAAGCAGTTTGCCCTTCAGGAGATAACACAGAGTAAAGGTTTATCTTTAACCCTATTTACTTCACCTCATTCACCCTAATCAGTGGTAAAGCATACCTTAGGAAGCGTAAAGGAGATGTTTCTCAGGGTTGGCAAGGTTTCAGTCTCCCCATTCTGAGACATCTCCTCCACTTTGTGTCCCTTCACCCCATTGGCTGAGCTGGGGGCAGAGTCTGGCTGGCTGTCTGGTTTGGTCCAGGAGAATGTAGCATTTTTCATTACTATAGCTGAGTCACTGTCTTTGTGGATCAGGTAGGAATCCGGATTCTGGATCAGCAATATTTTCTGAAACAGCCAAACATTGCATTTACAAGCTTTTCCACATTTTAAAATTAAGATTTTCATTGCAAATGAGATCCACAACAGTGATAAATAGAATGGATTCTGGCAAAATGCCTTCAAATACTGAAGAAAAAAGAAGGAAACACAATGATGGAAAAGTAGCATTCAACACAGTCGCCAGAATAAAGTTTTCAACTTCAAGTTTCAAGTTTATTTCATTTATATAGCACCTTAAAAAGCAAAGAGCATTTGCACCAAAGTGCTTCACAGGCAACATGTCATATACACATAGGCATAAAGACATGTAAAATACAGACCAACATCAATACAAACCAACATCAATTTATCAAAGATTAGAAATAAAAGTTAATAAAACCCAGGGTGATCAGATGAAAATAAAAACAGATTAAACGCTATTAAAAGCCAAAGAGTAAAAAGGGGTCTTAAGGTGCTTCTTTAAAGCCTCAACAGAATCAGCCTTTCTAATGGCTTCTGGCAGGCTGTTCCAGAGCCGAGGGGCTTCAACAGAAAAGGCCCGGTCCCCGGCCTTTGTTTTCTGTGAACGTGGCACAGCCAACATACCACGGTCTGAGGATCTGAGGGTTCTGGTGGTGGTGTAAGGGGTGAGATTTTCTGAGATATATGAAGGGGCGAGACCATGGAGGGATTTATAAACAATCAGAAGAATTTTGAAGTGTATCCTGAAATGAACGGGGAGCCACTGTAATGATGCAAGAATGGGAGTGATGTGGTCTCGCTTCTTTGTTCTTGTTAAATAACTGGGCGGCAGCGTTTTGGACTAGTTGGAGATGGGAGATGGTGGTCTGAGTAATACCTGAGTAGAGGGAGTTGCAGAAGTCCAGCCTGGACTTTTTTTTAAGTTGAAGTTAAAAAAAAAAACACTACACTTTAGTTGTTTGTTGGTCTCAAACAATGGTTTACTGATTGCCATGTTACCTAGGTGTCACACCATCCATCATCCCCTCCTCCACTTGATGAGAAACTCAGCTCATACATGTGATGCGAACTACGTCACTTTAGAAACGTTGATATAATATGTATGAAACGTACAAATGTAACATATCCATATCCGTTTGCATAAACGTACAATGCAAACATTTTATTCTGAAGGTAATAAAATGAAAAATAAGGCAGTTTGTACTGCTGAATGACATCACAGCAAAATAACATTATGTAAGATCAGAGTAGTAATGAATACTTCTACTATTACTAATAACCATTGCCATAACTGCTGAGTAGGACACATAAAGAGTTTACCCTCAGTCGTGCTAGTGACACAGCAGCCTCAGCCAGGGCCTTCACAGACAAGGGCAGTAGAGCCAGGCAGAACCTCATGGCGTTGAAGATGGCGATGGTGGTAAAAGCCTGGTAATAACAAAGAATGATGCTCAAAGACTTCACACTATACAACACTGAAAAGGACATATATTTGCCTTAAATGGACCACAATCTGTGGTCTAGTGGCCAGCACTTGTCTGTAGTCTGCTCTGGGTTAGTGTGAGCAGAAACATACAAAAGAAAAATGTGCGTTCATCATGATTAAGTGGTGACAAAAACTAAAAGATAATCATCTAAACACATATGTATTTTATGTCTTAGACACATTCATGGCTGTAATCGGACAAAGCTTTTTGTTCTGTTTAACTACTCACAAAATTCTCTCTGTCCTTTTCTTCAGTGCACCTTTATTAACCACGTAAATCACACGGTGAGCATGTTGGCAGAGGTTGTTGTACTGTATGCACTGCACTGCTGTGGTACTCACATCAGATGAGTTGAGCTTTAAACCCAACAAAGTGTGTAGAATGAAGGTGAGAACGGTGGCGATGGTGGGGATGATGGTGCTGATGCTGACATTGGCATTCTGAATGTAACTGACCTTCCTCAGCTCTTTCTTCTCAGCTTTCCTTAACTCTATTAGAGAGACAACAACACACATTAAGAGGCTGGGTTTTTTGAGGTTTTTTTACTACCTTTACTTCTCCTAGTGTAATCACATGTCAGCCCAGATCTTCCCACTGAGCACCTCCAGTGTAACAACTGGGGAAACGTTATTTGCTCAAAAGCACCTAGAAGACACACAAGATATTTAGAAAAGCATTTAAATGTGTGAACATCAGAGCTGTGTGGAGTCAATTCCAAAAGTTTACACACACACAAAATACATCAGTGCACACATGGACGAGTCCCTTGTCCTGCCTGCTGCAATGGACCATAAATGTTCACAAGAATTACATTATGAATATCAACATAGATGTTTGAGAGCAAGGTGGAGGTGAAGTGGGCTAAATATTTACATTTGTGGATAGGTATAGAGATTTCCAGCACAACATCCCCTTCCAAGATGCATAGAGAAGGAAAAAAGTCGAAAGAAGTAAAACTCCAGCAAAACATTTCGGCTTGTGGTCTTCATTGCATTTAAATTTGTAGCTCCATCAGAGGTCTCACAAAGCAACAAAAGTCAGAGAGGCTGACGGCTGCAGCAATTTATAATGCAGTGGGTTCAACAAGTAGGACGATGTCTGTAATGTAAAGTGCTAAGATATGAAGCTAAATTATTAGAAGCACACCCCAAAGAGCATGGACTGGTGGAGGCAAGGGCACATCAGAGCTCACCCCTAGATACTTGTTGTGCATCCCATAGATGTTCATATAGAAAGGAAGACCCTTCCTATATGGGTGAGGTGGCATGGAGGGTGGAGAGTATGTGGCAGCTGCAGCCTCATCTCCAGCCTTGAAAAGCATGGCAATGTGTTCACTGGGGTGATTTTTTTTTCATCCAAAAAAAAAAAAAAAAAAAATCTGCCACATACTGTTACAACTAAAGTACTTCCTAATATGTGTCTCCCATTTCAACCATCTCCAGATTTCTGTAAAGGTACACACAATTTCTTTTCAAATCCCAACTTTTTGGACCATGAAACATGGAAAGCACACGCATCTTTTAAGATTGGCTTTGTGTTTACTCAAAGTGGACAAGACAAAGATAACGTGCAGCAGCCTGAGTTCATACCTGTGATCGTCTTCTCAAAGGATTCTTCCCAGGCGTACATCTTGATGAGTTTGATGCTGCTGAGAATCTCGTTCATTGTGCGAACACGGTTGTCTGTTACTAATATGGCTTTCCATCTGAACATGTTAATGAGCTTGGCCAAGAAAAACTGAAAGCAAAAAAAAAACCAAAACATTATTAATATTAGTTATGGAATGGAAAACCAGTAGAAGAAGACCAAACATAATCAATTTAGGGTTTTTCTTGTGGCTGAATTATTCATTGGCTACAAATCATAGCCAATTAAACCACAGAAAAATAAGGTAAGACATAAGAGGATTGATAACCACAATCAAGCAAATATTGCCCTTGTAACTACTACAATCTGCAGTTGTAACATGTTTTAAATGAGCTATAGTCATTTCCTAAATTCCACATACCATGGAAAAAACAACACACAAACACGATATAATAAATCTGTAATGATTTAGACCGGTCCACACACTACACATAAATAATGATCTATATGAATGATTCATATTCATTCTTTTTGACCATATTTGTTTATGACTTTTGATAATTGCAGTACCCCCTCTGACTGTGTTTTGCCCCTACAGGAAAATCTGCCTGTCTTTTATCCTGTTCATGAAAATATGTTTGTTTTCAAACTACTGTAAATGTGCAGTTTCTAATGTACAGACCTGTATGGGGATGAAGATGATATAGGTGGCGACTCCAGTCAGTGCGGTGTAGCCCAGAATGTAACAGGCATAGATAATACACACAATGAAGACCACTGGGCTAGACAGCGTGAAGCTCCCAAATATTATTGCCTCAAATAATCGGTGACCATCGTTGGTCAAAACAGTAATCATCTGGAGGGGAGAGAAGTGGAGAGAAAGAGAAAGGCATTATTTAAGAAGCCCATTATGCAAAAATGTCTCATATAACACACCAGCATACACTGTTATGTCTTTGCTGAAGAAAGGGAAATCGAGGTTCCAAAAACAAAAATAAAAAAAGGAAAGGGACAGAAAGCAAACTGAAAAAAAGTACAAAACAAACAAACAAACAAACAAAAAACATTAAGAGAGCCATGAGCCCCTTTTCCACCAACATTTCCAGGAACTTTTATTACCAGGAATTTGTTTACCTGGGTAAAATAATTCCTGGTAATCTGTGTGGTTTGCATTTCCACAGCACCTCAAAGTTCTGAGAAATGTATTTAAATTAGTGTGATGACATAGATGATTCGGCCTGTGCCCTGTATTTGGCTCCGCCAGCTTGGCTGGTTATGTGCTGGTGTAGAGAGTTGGGCTGTTTGTCTCAGCCAGCAGCTAAGTTTAAAAGTATTTTAAGATAAGTGTCAAACTAAGTTAGTCTACATACAGACAGCTGTCATTTGAGTTTATTAGTAACAATTCACTATCAGCTGAACTAGCGTGCTGTCCTTGTGTAAGACACAATGTTAGTGACAGTGGATGAGAGACTGTGGACAGAGGTATTGGCTTCTTCCTCGCTAAGCTTTAATGTCACTTACAGTAACAAGTGTAGCTGCTGTCAACTCAAGTCATTTTCGAGTTATCTTAATTTCGTTACACCATGGCCGCTCAGCTGTTCACCGGTTACCGCACTGCATCGATGTATGTGTATGTGTGTGTGTGTGTGTGTGTGTGGAGGAGTTCAGCGCCTGCACAAAAGAACCGATACCGTTAGCGCTTATCAATACTACAGTCTTTGATAATTTAGCCCCAGGGTTAATTCAGTACCGGGTTTCGGTACCCATCCTCAATCACAACACAAAGCCTGTAGAAATGAAATAAAGCTTGCAGAGGCTACCCGTACCAGGAATTGCGGAAGGCTGCGTGCTCCACCGATCAGTATTCTTCAGCAAACAGCCCCGCCCCTCAAGAATTCCGGGTAATCTGAAAAGTCCTACCCCCCTACTAGGTACTTTTTCCAGGGTAAATCTGGGGTTGAGCGAAATTTTTTTACCCGGGTAATTTAGGTGGAAATGTGCGGAGGTTTTTCAAAAGCCCCGGTAAATGAGAAAAGTTCCTGCAGGGGAAGAGGGGCTATGGATCAACAGAGGAAGGGCAGGGGGCCCACAGAGACTGCGTATGCATAGGGCCCAGAATGTGGTGCTATGCCCCTGCACAAAAAACAAGACCTTCCACCAGGAAATCGGCATTTGGAATCTTGTGAACTTTGAGTCATTTTAAGGCATGTCCTCACCATGTTTCTTCCCCCACAACTTAGCATCTACTAATCACTTTACAATGGAAGAAGTTAAACTTGCAAAGCTACCAGCAACTTAAAAAAGTGGTTCAAACTACTTTGTAAAATATGATCAAAATGACAATGTACATGTGATTTGATATTATAACAAAATATAATATAAATATAAGTCACATGCCAGCAAAAAATATCAGCCAATTGAGTTTATTGCAAAAAGTGTCCACTTAAACCAAAAAAATAGAATGCCCCACTTTTCATGAGAAGGTGCAGAGAGAGTGAGCTCTGGTTTTGTATACAGTGTCCATGAGTCAGACACCTGCCTTCAGACTCTAGAGTCCAAGTGGGAGATGCACCAAGCAGGATTACTCTAAAACAACATGCAACAACTTCCCTAAAAATTTTTTATCATTTAGCTATAATGAATATCTATGAGGTCAAAGAAATAT